AGGACCACAAGAGCGGCAAAGCTCTCCCTCTTGATTCTTTCACTCCATGCAAGACAACCTAGACTATAAATAGCCCACAAGATATAGCAAGTTGAGTGCACTGCTCTCAGTTCTCACACAACACAATATACACCAAATTAAACTTGTTGTATTTATTATTAGCTTTGAGGTGAAAAACAAAATTAGTAAAAATGGCTCAGGCAGTCAAAATAAAGGACCGAACATCGATCATAAGCTCCCCAAACAAGGCATATGATTTCTTCAAACATGATCTTAAGGATTTGCCCAGTGTTGCTCCTCAGCTGTTCAACAATGCTAAGGTTGTCGATGGAAAGGCGGGGCAGCTTGGGGGTACCATACAGTACGAACTCTTCGTTTTCGGTATGTATTTTCAACTTCTATCAATTTTCGAGTCATTTAATTAGAAAACATCATACTCAAAGAAGCTTATTAAATAAGTTCGAGCTTATTAAAAAAACTCGTCCTGCCAAACGAACTTATTTGAATACAGGGAACTTATGAGCTAACCAAATAAGATATAAGCTAACTTATTTTTCAACCAAACATAGTCGGTACAACCATTCCATATGCATCAACCAACTTAAAAGCTAGAAGCACATCATTGTCAATGCTCACTTAGAAGAAAAATTATGGGAAAATTCAAAAAAATTGTTTATATTATTCACCAACAATTTGAATCCATGATATGTATATACAGGTGAGAAAATAACTATAAAGTTGAAGGCGGAGAAAATAGATGATTCGACGAGGTCGATAACCTTTGGAGCGGTGAAAGAAAATAAGAATGAGAAGAACACGGCCATAATGATCAAGGTGACCGTCAACAATGGCAACATCACTTGGAGTCTACAGTTTGCGGATTCTGAGGACGTGTCCGAGGATGTTACTGCTGTAATCAAGGGTGTAATCGACCTCATCATCAGAGCACTTGATATCTACCTTCAGTTCTCTTGATGAGTGAAGAGAATTCAAGTTCAACATATATTTATATTTATATTTATATGCAATATAAGATAAGAGAAGCCATGCATGAGGATTGTTGGTGATGTGTATGTAATAAATAATAATGGCAGTTTGTTTGTGTATGCATTATATAATCATAATCAACATATATTTATATTTATATAGTACAATACTGATTGTTCTAAATTTTCCAAATGTCATATGCAAGAGAGACGAAGAGAGGGAGACTCGATATTTTCGTGTATAAACAGTCGATACATATAAAATATCAAACGAAACATCTTGTAGAGTTATAGTTTGCTACAAGAACTCACACGAGTCTACAAGCTCCTGGAGCCCGGAATTCTGACCCACTTTAACTTGAGTTCAATCTCACCACACTCGACATTTCTAAGCCTCAGAAACATATTTTGGATAACTTCACGATTTTCCCAAACAATCGAGCTTTCTTCGGATAAACAGTTTTCCCTGTTTGGCTTAATCTTTGTAATTATGGTCCCATTAGGAAGGTTCTCCTTCTCCAGGTGCATCTTAACGACTTCTAGAAATGGATTAAGTTCGAACTCTGCATCCCCCATTTTGTCGTCTAGGCTCAACATATCCTTATCATAAACTTGCTGCAAAAAGTACAAGAAAGTAGTCTTCAAATACATCAATTTGTGAAATAGTATTGTAACGATGCAAGTCTTTAGCAAAATATGCCAGCAAAAAACACTGTATCGAAAAGGGTCGTCCTCAAAGTAAGACTCGAATCATATACAAGTTCAACGGCCCATTCGTATTGCATTTTGGAGGACCATTATGGCACAACATCATATATACCTACTTATTCAAAGACACTACTTTTGCGAGCAATGTTGGAATTTCGGCCTAGAGTCTTTGTATAACGCAGAAAGACACAAAGTCTTACCAACTTGATCGGTAGATGTGGATCGGAAATTGATAGTGTGAGTTCTTCATTCCACTCAGGATTAACATTGTTCTTCACCACACGAGTCTTTAATTTCTAGTCCAATTTTTCGAAAAAAAAAAGGAAAGAAAAGAAAAACATTGTCACGGTTTCGACCTCCAAAGTTGCATTGACATAGAAAAAAAAAAACACAGAAAGAGATATATATACGCCCATTGACAAGACAAAGATGAAACAACAAAAGAGAAAACTACGATTTTAGTTCCGACTCCGAGCGAGACGACAAATATAATGTAGAGGAACAAAATGTTAAATGAGCCTAAATAACTCACGGTGCACAATGAGGTAATCAAGTATAAGCCCATTTATTCATATCCACATTATCAAACTGACAGACTCAAGGCTGTTTTGGCACTCTTGGGAGCTACTTTTTTTTTGTTTTTTTTTTTTTTTTTTTTTTTTTTTTTTTTTTTTTTACTCTTTTTACAATGAACTCTTGTAAAATAATTTTTTTTACTCCTCCATCTGAGCAAGTCATCATGAAATTATTTTACTTTCAAGTCAATATCAAGGTTTATGTATTTTTTTATTTTTATTTTTATAAAATGAAACCGAACATCATGAAATTATTTTACTTTCAAGTCAATATCAAGGTTTATGTATTTTTTTATTTTTATTTTTATAAAATGAAACCGAACATCTACATGCTTAGTACGATCATGAAAAACGGGATTTTTACACAACTGAATCCCGACTGACTATCAGAACATACTACAACTTCCTTAACAAGAAAACCAATTTCAGATAACAGACCCTTGAGCCAAATAGCCTCTTTCAAGGCTTCGGTCACAGCAACATACTCAGACTCAGTGGTCGAAAGTGCAACAATATGTTGTAATTGAGATAATTGAAAACTGAAAGGAAAAATAAATGTGTACCTGCTTGCCCATCTTAACAATCACGTAGGGATCACTACTTCGTGCATCCCTCTTCGCAAGGTTTACTCCTCTTACAACATTTATTTTCAGTAAACCCAGCAAATTCTCCATCGATTTTTCCCTGAAGAAAAACAGAGGTATTAATTTGAAAAAAGGAAGTTGAAAAATGCAGGAAATTAATTTAGGTGTTAGTTAGAAAGAAGAGAGTTGATAAATGCAAGAAATTACGGAAAATGCTATGATTCTGTTACGGAAACATTTCGTCGAGACCTGTAATGCTAACGGAACCGTAACATCTCCGAGAAATTAATTAGATACTATTGCCCGTTTGACATCGAGGGGATGGTTTTTAAATTTTAATACTAGCGCAGGCGTTTGACTATTTCCACTGCAACCCTTTTTTGACTAACGCTGAGTTGGTGATTCAAGAATATGGTTGGGTCAAATTATTCTCAATAATATGATTAGGTAGAAGTTCAAGATTATAATACTAATACACAACGAAATAAGAAATTTTAGACCTAAACCTACCTAACAAATCAAGAAAATTAAACCAAATTGAATGAAGGAATCCATGGGACAGAAATATTAGATGACTAAGATTCATAAAGTTTATTATTTTCAGTTCAAAATATAATATGTTTGAATCATCTACTTTCCGTTGTTTTAATCAGTGTTATTTTTTTTTTGATGAGATGTTAAAATCTAAGTCCTTTAGAGCCAACCAATGATTAATCAATATATTAGTCTGCTAATCGGTTAATATTAATACAAATAAGATTTTAATACATATATTTATTTCTTGACATAGAAAAAAAAAAAAAAAATTATTGTGATATGGAATACCATACTAGGTGGATGATGACCCAAAGAGCGGTTCAACTGGTGGACCGGCAGGTTGATCGGACAACAAGGACACTGGGGGTCGATGATGACCTCACGGAAAAGGAAGTTCACCAACAGGTCGAGCTAAGACTCTTAGTTAGCTTGATAGAAATTCGACTTGGAGATAGACAAGTCGATAGCGCGACCTAAGTAACAAAGTCCATACATGAGAGATTAGAGCAACCTGGTTGATAGGGAACCGAGTTGGTCACACAGTTAGACCATCTAATAAGACATACTGATGTTAACACACTACATAAGAGATAAGAAAGAATATTATTAGGAAAAAAACCACACATGGATAGGACCACGTAGATTAACAGTATCATGCAATTTGTGCACTGGGCAGCCCAGTCAGGCAGTTTTGGACAACAAGGTAACACCTTCATATAAAGGGGTGAGGTATGATTATCCAAACTCTATACACTTATATATACTTACAAGTTATACAATTACTGTTCATCGTCTTTTTCATAAACATACTGACTTGATCGTCGAAGTCTCTACGTCTGGACCACTCTCGGTATTGTTTTGCAAGTTTATCAATTCAGTATAGTGCGAATCTAAGGTCGCAGAAGTTTGTCGAGGTCGTTTACACGCCAGTTTCCTGCCGTTTGTGGGAAGTTTCGTTAAAAAAACCATCAAAACATCGTAGCCATGGCGATGAATATTATCAGATAAATTTGGAACCCACCTTTGACGGGCTTGGGTCTACAGACGTCCTTTAAGAGCAGGCCTACCACCAGCCTTTTCGAGCTCAGTTCAGACACTGGTGACCTCGATGATTAATCCATTGGGTCTACAGAGCTCATTGCGGCCCTTGTAGCTGCTGGAGGTTCTATCGCCTAGCTTGCAGGTAGATCGGGCATGGAGGTCGTGCCGTCACCACCAGTGTAGCCAGGTCAAGTTTTGGTCGAGCGGAGGTACCACCCTGCCGGTGGAGTTACGCCAATAGGTCACAGATAGTCACTTTGACAAGGAACAAGCTTAGTGATGATTGTTAAGACCGTTGTCGCTAGATGTACGCGGCAACAGGTGTCGAACGCAGTAAATCCTACTACGACGACAAAAAGGGAGACAAAGGTCGAGTTTTCTAGCCGCACAGCACGAGGCTGCGACCCAACATTGGAAAGAATGGCAGAGCTTTTTCTTGAGTTACAAAACATGGTCAACGGAGAGCAACCTAGGAGAGATCAAGTGCATCCGGTTGCCCAAGAATGTGGTTGTTGATCTACCAACTGGGTTCATAGAGTTCAATATCACTTATGATGGGTCCTCCAAGCCGTCTCGACATCGAGGAGCTTTGGGAATATGGTTATTTTGCATGGTTACCACGATGTTGTGAGGTGTAGGGCGTTCTTGTCGACCTTGCAGGGAGGAGCTCAAGATTTGTTCCATCAAATCGCTCTAGGGTCGGTGAGGGATTTTGAGGATTTTGCAATCATTTTCCTCAACTAGTTTGCAAGCGCCAGGACGTAGCAGATGACCCATCTTACATTTATGGCCATGAAACAGGAGCATGAAGAGACATTAGGGATTTATGTGGGTCTATATACTCGCGCTTGTGCAGAGGTTCTCTCGGCTTCAGAGGAAGTTAAGGCAAGAGGACTAACAAGAGGGTTGGAAGTTGAAATGTGTAGGAGCTAGCTAGCTAAGAAGCTGGTGTTAAAGTATGACGAAGTCTTGAGGAGATGCAATAAATACATGAATATGGAAGAGGATGAGGCTGAGTTTGCCAAGATTGAATGAACAACTCGACCAAAGGTAAAAAAAAAGGAAAGAGGAATCTCTTATTGGAGTATACTGTAGAAGCTCGGCTTTTTTATTACTCCCAAAACTACTTTGAATAATATGTGTGTTTTTAGTTAAATGTATATTCGTAGTTTATTTATTTATGCGAATATAGTCCATTTAGTTAACATTGTGGATATTATGTGATGGCGACGAGATTGCCTTAACATATCTGGCAAAATACGATCGTCTGCAGGTCTAGAAGATATATCATTATTATTTATTTTTATATCTTTTTTTTTTTGTTTTCTTTAATTATTAGGAGAATATTTATTAATGCTTTTTTTATTATTTAAAAAAAATAAAACTTTGCCTAGCAAGTTAAAGAATTAGATTAGGGATTTATTTATTGGGATTTCCCCACAATAGGCGATGGGTTTTTTCATCGTTAATAAAGTGGAAAGTTCATGCATCAATGAAAAAAAAAAGTATGCACATACTAATATTTAAAATGACCCATTAAGATCGACACGTGTCGCTTTCCTTTCAGTTCAGGGGATCAACAGCTGCACAGAGGAACACACCTAGTTGGCTTAGTTTTATCCCACTCCTCCATTGATTCATTTCGAGTAAAATAAAATATCTCGATCTTTTTTGGTTCGGAGTTATGCCCAAACTAATCGGTTGGTCGATATCTCGACTTTTTTTGTGTGGTCGCTATAAGTTGGACTGATTTTACTCCATCCTTTCCAGTGTATGTATGCGTCGTGCGCGAGTATGAGCACTGCGTTGCAGCCATGTTTGCCCAGGTGACTTTATTCATGTTTGTTTTCGTTAATCCTTTGAAATGTTTACTACTAGAAAGGTTAATTTTCAGTGATTGATAGTTTATTCATGTGCGGTTGATTGGTAGGTTGAATTCGAAGAGAATCGAAAAGGCTCAACTCAGATCGGGTGCAAAAGAGTTCAATAAACCTAATGGGGTTTCAATTCCTGGTCACAAAGTGAATCGGAAGATATTTTGCACACCCCATAGCTTGGAGGAAGAATTTTCAGCATTACAGTCAAATGAATCCTCTGAGGACGACGATGAAACTTCACCCCTCGAACGACCACCCAACAGTGAAGAGGTACTTAGTGTAAACGAGCCTGCTTCGGCTCGTCTCGTTAAGGCTTGAAAATAGAATTTTTATATAACTTTTTATAGTTCGGCTCGTTGTAGCTCGAAATCGGCTCGTTAAGGCTCGAGCTCCTTAACTATCCAAGCTCGAGCTCGATTTCAGGCTCGTTTATTTGACGAGCCGAGCAAGCTCGAGCTTGAGCACCCTAAGCTCGAGCTCGGCTTGTTTACAGATACTATTACGTGATCAACTTAGCATGTAAAAAATGTGTAATCATAGTTAACAATTTTAATGTTGTCATTTGTTTGCAGTTGAAGGCGTTACTTGCCGATTCTGAGAGATCGAAGCTCGTAAGGAAACTGAGTGAAGCAAATCAACAGAATAGGTTTCTCAAACGCCAGGTTTGAGATGAAAGACAAATGTCTCTTTCTTCATTGTGTGAATTAGTGACTATCGTCACCCTCAGAAAAGGTCAAATGATGATGCACTGAAATTTGGAATGTGATTTAAATATATATATATACCTTATTATTTGCATGGGATTGAGTAGTGAGTTAAGGTATTTGATACAAATCGTGTGATTAGTAGAACTCTCAACGGCGCTTGTCAATGCAGTTACGAGTGAAGGAAGATGCTCTGGTTAATTTCAAGAGCGAACTTGCTTCCACAGAGCTTGAGATTCGGGTATATATAAGTAACTGGAACTCTGTACTATGTGGTTTAGGATCATGTGTTTTTTTTTTCAAATGTTGTTGGAATCTACAAATTTGGCAGACTACTTCTTATTTCATGCACGAGCCAAAGTTGTTTTTTCCTTTTCATGTTTTATTCTTAGCGATTTTATTAGTAGTAGGGTTGCTTATTTTTACGCAATACGACACCGTTTCCTTATGTTAAAACGGTGTCGTTCTGTACTTAAACCTGCATGTTAAATATGTGATTAATGAGAAGCGGGATAGTTAGATGGCCATAATCATTTTTCAGTTTTTCTGTTTCCTTTTCTTCTCGATTGAGCGAAGTAAAGTGAAAAACTCATGTCACCTGCAGGCTTTGGTTAACTTGGCACAAGAAATAGCTAGTTACAATATTCCAAAAGATTCAAAAAAGATTAATGGAAAATACATTCAATCTCACCTCCTTTCACGGCTGGAAGGTAAGTTTAACTTCATTTCTTTTTTCTTTCTTTGTGGTATATAGTAAGTAGACTACTTTTCTACTTTATGGTTGTTAAAAAAGTCAGAATTTTTTATTTTTCGTCTTTCAAACACACCTGGAAGTCTCTACATTTTTATTCTCGAACACATTGAGAAAGACCGTAATCACTCGCACCATGACGAGGTGAAGCAAACTACTGCAGCATTGTAAATGTAACAGAACATTTTTTGAATACCCTGTGTTCTTTACATAACAAACAGCTCAAATTGCATGATGCTAGATTAAACACTCATTTCTTATTCGAATCATAAGGAAAGACCCCATTCTTGAACCTTATGCCTGCCCAACCCAGCCCGCATTTCCTTTTGAGGGGCCAGATAATGATGATGGTGATGTCACTTTTGTTAGACTCATCTTTGCCTTATTTTCATTTCCTTTGTCCTTTTGATTTCCTTCAAATTTGATACTTTATATAATACTGAAAGCTGTCCAAGAAAAGTTGGAGGCGCATATCAAGGATGTGGATGCGGCACAATCCCGAGAGGTTCCCTTATTTTGGCATGGTATGGCAGAGGTAAGTTTAACACAAGAAAAGTACCTTCCTTATAATTAGGTTTGGTTCTCTTTCAATTTGCTATATTTGCAAATTGCCATTTGTTCTAATCCATGACTAGCATCATGAAAAATATATGTTCCCTTATTTTATATATTGTTCGTATGATGTTATATCCAAAATTCTGCATCAAGTGGTAGAAAGCTGCATGATTGTTATGTTAGACTATAAATATAATCTTTTACTTGATTTATTTTTGTCTTTAAGCATACATGAAGATATTCTAGTATATTATTTCAACTACAAAGGTTCGAAGATTAAGTACAATTGACCAAGGTTGCATGACTTGCTGGCTGAGGTCAATGATTACACATTTGACCTGCTAACCAAATGCATCATCGTTTACATTAAAATTTGCATTCATCGGACCATTTTTCAGCATGCAGTAAAACACTAAATGTTGAAACGAATTTTCTATACCTAAATATTTCATTATTTCCGTTGGGGTTCAGAGTATGTGGGGAAGTAATAATAAATCATGGAAAATTGGAAAATTAACTTTATTTTTACGATTGAATTATAGAGTGTGCATGTAATGGGCTCATTTGATGGCTGGAGCCAAGGAGAACACCTATCACCTGAATATGTAGATTCATACACGACATTTTCGACTACATTGGTGCTTAGACCCGGAAGGTACTATTAGAACAACAATGCGATTTTTTCTTTTGTGCATAATATTTTTCTTTTGGCACTTGCTTATATAAAGATCTACAAATGTCTTGAAGGTACGAAATAAAATTTTTGGTAGATGGGGAATGGCAACTGTCACCTGAAATCCCCACCATTGGCGAGGGGTTCGTGCAGAACAATTTACTTATTATTGAGTAGCATTACAGGCTATTAGTTTGTTTGCAGATTAGTTTTTTTCTTAGCATGAAGTATACAATAAATGCTTTTAATATAAATCATATGGGCGAAAACCTTGAGGCTGATCAAGATAGTTATTTGTTTGTTCTATTTTCTTATGTTTTGAGTTCCTTTAGTTTTTTCATACTGGTTTCGAAGTCTGCTATGTTCTTATTGTTTTAGCTTATGGCAGTCGTTTGGGTTTTCATTCTTTTTCTGGATTTAAAGCTTTGGGGCTTTTAGACGTGTAGTTATACGTTGAAATCAGCTTAAAATAGAGATGTAGTTGATCACTGCACAACTCAAAATAGAGATGTAGATATTCACTACACAACTCAACTCCTCGCACTACAATATTTTTTCAATCACGCAAGAACATTTATTTGTATGGCTTCAACAAGCTAGTCATATTTTAGAATCTTTACCAAAATAGGTATATAATGATATGCCCGAATAAGACTTTGTTTTTTTCTCAAACGATATTTATACTGAATACGAAAAGCTCAAAAGAATACAACTGAGGTGTTAACAGACATTACTACAGACATTACTGGAACTAGAACAAAGTCTAGACTAAGTGAGGGTACAAACTCCATACAAGAGACATAAGTTAAAACAAAAACTTTAAAAATGAGACACAAATTTCATATAAGATACTAAAAGCCAAAAGCAATTGGATCATACAAAAAGAAAACAGAAAAGAAAAAGAAGAAGGACAGATACTTAACCAAATAGAATAAAATGTCCCTTAAACCCTGCAAGCAAAATACAAAGCCGCTCATCCCAGAACCCGACCAAACCCCGTAATGCATAAACCCAAATCAGACTGAAAAATTGTGGTCAAACTCGACTCACCTATACAGAATTGGCGAAGAGGCGATTTTCAACCCAGATCTGTAGGAAGGGGTTCAAGATGACCAGAGAAGCCCTCAACTGCAAAGCGGCCCAGTGACCAAAGTCCAAAGGTGATCCTCTACCTAAAGAATTTATCGTTTAAATATTTCACACTTTATTAATTATATTTAGGGTTAATTGCAAAAAAAACCTCGAACTTTTTACTTAATTACATATAAAACTCAATCTTTTAAATTTTGCAAAAAAATACAAACTTTTATTAAGTATTGCATATTTGTCTCAAATCTGAAATCCGGCAAAGGGGCGCTGCGATTAGGGCTGGGCACGGTTCGAGTAACCGAGTTTTTTCAGGTATTTGCTAACCGAACCGAAAAGCAAATATTCGAACTTGCTAACCGAAAATCTCGGTTAACCGAAAAAAATCCTACTATTCGCGAATTAACCGAACCGAACCGAACCGAGCAAACCTAATACAATTTTGTGTTAGGTTTGCTCGGTTCGGTTCGGTTCGGTTAATTCGAGAACCGAGCAAACTTAATATATATAGTTTAATATATATAAATATAAATTAGTTTAATATATATAAATTTAATAT